CCCAAAACCCCAAAACCCCAAAACCCCAAAACCCCAAAACCCCAAAACCCCAGTCGCTATTTAAAAGCTGAAATATTTTAAGAGTATAATATTATTTTAAATTCGGAGAATTAATGGAGACACATCCAGATAGGAATCAGAAGGGTAACCCAAGAAAATATTCCTCAGACTTTCAGAATAATAATGATAGAAAATTTAAAGGAAAATATTTCAATTCTAATCAAAATAGCCAATTTGTTCATAAAAATGAAGGAAGAAAGTAAGCGAAAATTCATTATACAACCACAACTTACGACCTTCCTTTTGATTGGCATCTTTTCAGAGCGATCTATTAGAATATCAACGATTTTAGGACCTTTATGTTCTGAATGTAAGCTAATTAGTTCTTATTTAGGTTTAATTATAACACTGATAGAGGCACAGTACAAGATGCAAGACGCAATTATTCTACCAAGAGATTTCACCCCAATCAGCACGGAGGTGACAAAGGCCATTACTTCCATAAGAGTAACTCCAGAGGAGGCTATGACCACTTTAGCTCAAGAAATCACCGGAAGAGACCCTACCACTCTCGTCACCATCATAAACATGACCGGAAGTTTTACAAGCCAAAGCCCAATCATAAGTTTAACTTCCACTCCAAGCCGTTCGACCACAAGAACGACAGACAACACGGCTTCAAGGCACCCAGAAAGCTAACGATCCAAGAACAAAAGAAGAGACACCTCAAGAACCTCAGAAAAGCCGCTGCTGAAGTCAGTCTCAAAGACCCAGCAGCCTTCGTGTACAAGCCTGGAATGATCGGACTGCTGAGACCAGATACTCCACGGAACACAAACGAGTTCTTGATCAACGACCACATGAAGAACCACCCCAGACAAGACCCACTTGCTGAACTCAACACTAAGGGCGAGCGAGACTGCTACTCCATGATCAACCCAGAGTCGAAGATGAGCCAGTTCGTCAGAGAAAACGGAGTGCGGACGCCAGAGCCCAGGTGTTCGCCGTTGAGCACACCCTACAATCCCCATATGTGAGGTCCCAGCCACTTCAGCGACATTGACGACTACTACGAGCAATTCGAGCAGGTCAGCGGAACCATGGAGCGTCTGGTCAACCACGAAACAGTCGGCATGTTCGACACTTCAGACCCTCCAGCACCCAGCCTTGAGACTGGCGACCAGAAGAGAGCTATCATCTGACATGAAGAAGAAAAGGGCCTCGATCTTAGAGAACCCTATGAAGACCAAGGGGACCATGACGACCATGAAGACAAGCACCTGTGTGAATGAGGCTACCAGAAGTTGTATGAAGAGTCTGTGCAGCGGATCAGAGTGCTCGAGAGGATGCTTAGGTTCAGCAACGAAGCAGTTGAAAGACTCAGGAAAACCCACAACAACGAATAAGCACATAAATGGATGAAGGTGAGGACCAGTTCAAGTTTGCTTGGAGCCGTGGCAGATCTCATAATTTTGAATCAGAAAATTTTCAACTTCTTCATCATCTATTTAACCATTTTCTACAATACCTTCATTCAAACATGTCTTTTATCTTTATTCTCTCTTGACAACTTCCTCTTCTTTCACCTATGGCCTTAAATTTCACCTACTCATTCAATTTTCAACAAACTATAAAAATATTGGGGTTTTGGGGTTTTGGGGTTTTGGGGTTTTGGGGTTTTGGGGTTTTGGGG